TATACGAACATAAGCAAACTACTTCTGGAACATGTGAAGTGGTGAGGTACGCACTTTTCTTTACAAATGGAATATTACACGATTCTTTTAACAGCTGCGAAATCCAGCTCTCGTAAGCTACAGATCGGGGGTAAGATTTGCATAAAACTATTTATCTTTAAATTGTGAATTTGTTTCAAGATTATCTTCTCTCACTCACTAGCCAAGTTGGTAACCTGCTTAACCTACATGTTTTGCGCCAACAACTCTGAAGTACAATAGTGGCCAAAAGCTGAAAAAGCGTCTGAATGTACGGTTGAGGTGGTCTCGAATTATTTGTTCGACTGGCCTTGTGCATCTTTTTGCAAAGGCTCGACGTCGAGGTGGCTATCGTTACTAATCTTTCTACCTACGTAAACATTTATTTTCACAAAAAGTATTTCTCGCAACTGGGTCACCCGCAGCGCACCGATTCGTCTTACTTAGCAAAGACCTTTTTTAACCCTGTAAGTATGACCCCGGACTCATACTCCAAACTATTTTCAATGGGCCTTGACCCACCAAAACTTAGGCATTTGCGTGTCTAGACAGAGGAGACGGAAAATTAGTATTACCACATCTTTGCAACTCTGTCCCTTGCTCTTTAGTCCTAATAATTTACCTGCGGGACACCCGAATTACCGACATATGTTCTTTAAATGTAGACATGTTTTAGCCTCATCAACATAATTTAGAACGTTACATGATTTTTATGTTTGTATTTTCATGTAACTGCAATACACATTCTTTGCCTACGTCGGTTTGCAATATAATTTTTAGGAGGCTGGCATGGGCCCTGCCTGTCAGGGCTAACCCGGGCTGAGAGGGATACAACGTCCCAGTAAAAAGACCGAGATACTTGAGAAAAATCCTCCCTCCCCCCGCACAGGAATCGAACTCTTCTGCGTGGGATGTCAAAGGCCCTAACCACTAGACCACACTAAATAGTAAAACTGAATCAAGTGAAATCAGACAAAATTGTCCTTTTTGTTGTTGTTTATAAAGAATCTATAAAGAACGCTTTCCCTGGCGGGACGTCACGTCAGATATTCAGAGTATTCAATGGTCAACTTATTCCCACTGAAATTACCATCTTTTATCCTTTCACCTTTTCTACTGAACGTTCCTCTTTCTACTGTCATGTCAATCATTTTTGTAACATGTGTAACATTTTTCCAAAACAAAACAAAATTCATATTAACTTTACTGTCTCAACATGTATTATCAGATTGCTGTCGAATACTATCAACATTCTGATTAATGTATCCCTAGCTTAATTAAACATTATTATGTTAATAATTGTTCATTTACATAATATTATTATGGGTGTGACTGGATCTGTCTGTGAGTGTAAGCATAATATTATTATCATGTGTGCATACGTGAGTGGATGAGAGAGTGTGTGAGAAAGCATGTATGTATGTCTATGTGTGTGTATATATATATATATATATATATATATATATATATATATATATATATATATATATATATATATATATCTATATCTATATATCTGTATATATAATATATATATATGAGGCAGCGTGGTGGAATCAGGCTCTCGACAAAATAATCAAAGTGAAGAAACTTGCATTTTTCCGCAGGTTTGTGAATTTTTATCAAATTTTTGTTTTTTGGCTCAACACATTTCATGCCCTTTAAAGAACTCGTTTCTGTGTGGAGTTTTCTGAAAAACGTTGATTAAAGGCACGCAAAAATGTAATTTTTCAGTTACTCTGAAGCTAAGAAAATAACTAATCTTTGGCGGCCATTTTCTCACTTATTTTACCCCTGAAAACAGGTAACCCCCACCTCATTCATTCGCAAATATCTCTACTCGTATTCAATATAAATTGATCTTTTTTCCTCAAAATAAATACAAGTGAACAAGTCTAAAGATGATACCAATAACTCTACATGCCCCAAAATTGACGAGAACCTGATTCCACCACGCTGCCTCACACACACACACACACACACACACATATATATATATATGTGTGTGTGTGTGTGTGTGTGTGTGTGTGTGTGTGTGATAGAGAGAGAGAGAGAGAGAGAGAGAGAGAGAGAGAGAGAGAGAGAGAGAGAGAGAGAGAGAGAGAGAGAGATTGAACACCAAACCAGAGCATCAGCGTCTGGACAATAAGATGAATCTTGTAAAGTTAACTATCATTGCCCTTTACGTTCTCTGTTCTCCTTTGTATTATTCACTGTCTTCTCTCCTGGGATCTGTGGTTATAAGCATAGCCCCCTCACCCCCCCCCCCCCCCTTTTACACGCAGGAAACTTGAGTTCTCGATTCCTACGTGGAGCAATTGTACAAGACGGTCACATATACAAGCGACCTCTCCCCCACTGTACCCTCGCTTTTTTAAAATGACATTGTCCAAGACGACCATACGCCCAATGTCAAAATGATATTTCATCAAACTGTCCAAGAAACATGTCTAAGACGACTACAGAAATCTTTCATCGCCAGTGGAAAAACCCAGACATCTCTTTTTCCCTTCGCTCCAAAATATAAGAACATTTTAATGGATCTTACGGAAGTTCTAAGTCTTCGACAACTTCGCTTGGGGCCTCAGAGGTGAAGAGTTGCTTTATTTCTTCATTTTCCGATGACAATCTCGTTAAAACATGCTGTCGAAGACGACCGATTTTTATCCTCTATAGTGAATGGTAGTCTTTGACAGCTTCGACCACCCATGTATCTGTTGTCCTGCTGCCATTCCGCAACCTACTCAGCCAAGGCTGGCTCTGACAAGCACAGTCTGATCATCATCCCCCCTTCCCTCACCCGAACCTCCTTAATGCTTTACAGTGCGTCGACAGGTGCAGAAATCCTTAAGAGTTCCCCTTCCTTTCTTTCATGTGCGTTTCCTACTAATATAACAAGTTGTGCTCCGTTTATTAATCAAGTCCCTTTTTTTTCTCCAGTATGCAAGTCCGGAGGCTGCATTTACAAAAACAGATCCCAGACAACATGCTCATGCACACTTCACACAGTGCGCCCACACCTATGCGGATATTACAGCGGAATACGTAAACGAGACGAAAGAAGGAGCCGGTGCTATTGCCAGAACGTGTGTACATCATATCAACCAACTGCTTGAATATCACGACAGGCTAAGTTTGCCAACATAAACTTGCCCGAATGCCTTTGTTTTCTGGATTTTGCGGTACAAATACTTACCACGAATGAATACTTTCACCTACTTGTACTGTCGAACAAAATTATGAAAACAGCTAGATTCTTTTCACCCTCGTTGAAAGCAACTTTTTCAACCAGACCAAAACGCAGCCTGCATTTTATTTAAAGTAGGAAAATCGACATTCCTAAAACTCAAGCATTTCCCTTTAACCAAAGACGCACACACAAAGATGCCTTCAAATTCGTACTCCCCTAGCAAAAAGACTCTATCAGATCTGAATAAGTCCGAGATGATGGGATTCTCATCTGTGAGCAAAAAAAAAGACTACACATTTGGCCCGTGCTGTATTGGTTCGCATGTGTATACTGGGCCATGCGCTAATCCCCATACAGTTTTCGACATTTTGCCGCGTTGTGATGGCCATCAGTCTTCGAGGTACTCTGAGCCAAATCTTGTAAAAACAGGCACGAAGGAAGCAACAGACAAAGACACAGAAAAGAATGACGAGGCTGCTAAAGGGAATCAATCAAGTTCCTCGGCCTTAGACGGCGGATATGGCTGGTTTATCGTTCTTGGATGTTTTCTCTCGCACCTTATCAGCGGTGGCTTTGACCGGAGTGATGGTGTTTACTACCTCCACTTCCGATCCAAATATGGTCAATCAGCTCAGCTTACAGCGTGGCCAGGGGCTATCGTGGCGACCTTGAGGTTTGTCCTGGGTCCAGTCGCCAGCGCAATTTGCAATCGATACAGGTAAGAAATCTCAGATAAGAAATTTGTTTCCAATGATACATTTTTTCTTAGAGTGTGGCGAGTGGGTGGTTGGTGGGTGCTCTGGTGTGGTTTGCTCCTTCTTTCCTATCAAACATCTATCGTCTTTATCTCCCCTTGTTCTTTTTTATGTTTGTTTCTCTCTTGTAACACCTCTAATCGTCTGGCGCTCATATGACCTTATGCAGTTGCGAGCGCCGTAAAACCTCTACTTAAACTACAACTAAAGAGTCTGGCATATCCCTAAAGCGAAGACGGTAAAAAATATGAAGGTGTCCTTGGCAAAACGTACAATACCTGTTTATTGCAAAACTGAGAAAAAAGATGGGGAAAAGCCTTATTCTCTGAAAACAAAAAAAATATGAACGAAACACATTAATACCATGCTAAATATCGAGGGATACAGTGCATCTAAATCGGACAAAAAGACGTATTCCCACAACTCTTATCATAAGATTTTGGAGTAGGCGAGTTTTTTTTTCGGGAAATGCCCATATGCCGTAGTATGTACGTTTTGCTATTGGAGACTTCAAAACAATATTACTATTACTGTCTTAAAAAAGAACCATTTGAGAAAGGAGTCAAAGGCGTCTTAAATAACTCTGGTGGTCAAAGCTCTATTTTTTTCCTAAGTAGACAGCAGTGCACACTTTTAATTAGGGAGTGACGTATTTCGCTGTTTGCAATATTTCGGGATGTTAAAAGCCACTACTGGCAGCTATCCTAAAAAAAGGATTGGTTATCGACTGGGGTTATGACCTGAAATTGTAAATAGATTCTTGGTTAGAAGGCGGGATAGTATGATGTAGATTGGGGACAAAGGTCAATGATTCGGGTCCCATATCAAAACGTGGGTGCAATTTTTGAAAAGGTTTGAAAATTAAGAAAAAAGGGGTGTGGTGGGGGAAAAGAAGCTGTGGATTACGTGCATGTGGAAATGTAACAATTATTTAGGAGGGGGGGGGGGGGGGAGAAAAGAGAATACAAAGCTTTATTTGTTAAGAAATAGAATTTTTTTTTTTGGGGGGGGGGGGGCACAAGGGGAGATAGAGGAGAGGTGGATAGGTTGGTTCTGGCCATAGGAGGTTTTGTTCGTAGAGGGGCTATCGTGGCGTTTCTGCGCTGCAAAATTATGCATTAGCGTCACCTCAATTAGGTTACTGAACCTACCAGACGTCAAGGAACATGTTTGCATGATCACAACGTGTCAGGGCCCGATAATGGTTTGAATCAAACCCGAAAGCTAATTCTCCTTCAATTATGACACGCTATTATATGAAAAGTAGCCCCATTGTGATTTCCACTTGATTTAATGGGATTTTCAAATTTAATGTTTTGTTTGTGGTGGCTGATAGTTCTACTTCTTATGTTGACTTAGTTTTGTCTGATTATTACTAGCGTTACCACTCTAAATGACCAACCATCTTCACATGTGCTTTCCATTGATCTAATTAAAGCTTTATATTCCCTTTCTTTCATTGTGAACCCAAAGATAAGTGTGAAGAAAAAAAAACCTTCACAACTTCAGATCCCGTTTCGTACCTTGGCAGTTTCCCTCTTCCCAATAACGAAATTTAACCGAGTAATTGTTCTGCTCAATGGCTTCTAACCATTACAAGTGTATACGTCTCCAGTTATCAATGTTCAAGAAATGCTTTAGGCTCACATGATTCTAATCCCCAAATTTTGCAAATCTTGTTTCAGTGTGAGGACATCTGTGATGCTCGGTGGAATCATATTCTCTGCTGGCGTGTACTTGACTGGATATGCGTCAAACATATACCTCCTCTTCCTATACTACGGACTTCTACAAGGTGTGGGACGTGGTCTGTTCAGTGGCCCCGCCCTGGTTATTGTTAACAAGTACTTTGACAAGCATCGGAGTCTGGCTACAGGCCTGGGCACGTCGGGAGTGGGGGTTGGTACGTTTGCGATTACAACTCTTACACAATACCTCTTCGACAACTACGATTTCCAAAGTATTTTTCTCATTCTGTCCGGAGTGGCTCTACATGTGTTGCTCGTAGCAATGTTATTTAGACCTCTCAGTTGGAGTAAAAAGTATCAAAGTATTAACAATAGACAACACAGCAACAAAAAGACTGATATTCCCACCATATCACAAACCAGAAACAGCATTTCGTCGTCGACCCTCTATGGTCTTCAGAGTACTGAGAGTTTGGACAAAGAATCCAGTACCTGTAGCAGTGAATATGGACACTTTGAGAGATCAACAAATGACCTGCTCACTATGGAAGATGGCAAATCCAGAAAATCACAGGAAAAAGACAAAAGTAAGAAGGATGACTCAGAGGAAAACTATGACTGCTGCTTGAGAGACACCTTTCAAATCCTCTTCCCTGTGGACAATATTGACGGGGTTAAAAAGTCGGATAAAAAATTGTTTGAATTTCATTTGTTACGTAATCCTTCTTTTTTATTGTTTTGTATTAGTATCCTTTTGTTCACCATGGCTTTTAAAGCGGCCTTCACCTTTATGGCAGCACTCGCGGAGTCTCGAGGGATCTCCCCAACCAACGCTACTCTCATCCTCTCCATCGCTGGGGCTACAGACACTTTCGGGCGTATCGGCGCCGGCATAATCCTAGGCTTTCCGCGTTTGCGATCGCTTCGGCATATTTTCTTCAACTTCTTTGTTTTTGCCATTGCATCCATTTCATTTGTTATGCCCTTGCTTCAGAGCTTCGTCTTCTTCTGCATTGTCTGCGGTCTGTACGGCATTTTAACAGGTGCTTACGTCTCACAGAAGTCTGTAGTCCTGGCTGACATGCTGGGAGCAAAGCAGATCTCAAGTTCCTTCGGGATGCTTATCTGTTTCCAGGGCTTTGGGACTCTCCTTGGAGTGCCTCTGTCTGGTGCTCTTAAAGATTTCTTTGGAAATTACGATGGGGTTTTCTACCTGGGTGGAGCCAGCATGGCGGTAGCAGGGATACTTATGCTTGCCAGCAACATCGTGCTTTGGAGGCAAAAGCGTCAAGAGAAAGAGGAGAACGCGTCATCGACAAAACAATAAAGAAATATCTCTTAATCTTCCACCAAAGTGTGGGGTCCTTTTGTCCCATCAGTACTGCTAATGAGCGTATTTGTGATAAAATGATTTCATCATTTCGTCGCTCTTGGTGACTATGAGAACCAGGAGGCCAAGTCTGATGGGTCTTCATGGACGTCCTGATTCGGATGACATCGCTGACGTACTAATATTCCAGAAGATTGAGGTGAGACTGATCTCATTGAAGACTTATGAGACCTTCAGCTGTATAAGAAAATCGTGACGTTTCATTCATAGCCCTGGTAGTTCAGATTGTGACTGCTGGCTATCACGTCAAGCCCACGGGTACCCATTACAATACGCCTTTTCATCGTTCACATCCGTCATACTCTCCAACTATAGACAGCGAAAGATCTTGTCAGTATGTTAGTGTTTTAGTGCCTATTAATGGCAGTTTGCACTGTTTGCTTCCCATGAAGTTTAGATTGTTTCAGAATGCTATTAGGTCTGTAGGGGTAAAAGTATAGATCGTAAAGGGTGTAGAACTCTCTGTTGAGCGGGAATTTGTGTTATACAAACTATACAAATGCTATCTTTTATAACTGGTGTATTTTCATTAAGTACGGCACATTTGATATACGATATGCTCGTAATATACAGGGACCGTAGAGATAAGCAAATGTAAGGCAGCGTGGTGGAATCAGGTTCTCGTCAATTTTTGGGCATGTCGAGTTATTGGTATCATCTTAAAGCTAGTTCAATTGTCTTTATTTAGATAACAAAATATCCATTTATCTTGAATACAAGTCGAGATATTTGTGAATGAAGGAAGTGAGGGTCTCCTATTTCAGAGGCTAAATTATTGAGAAAATGGCCGCCAAAGATTAGTTATTTCTTTAACTTAAAAGTCCTTGGCAACTGAACATTTAGATTTTGTGAGCCTTTAATCAACGTTTTTCAGAAAAATCCATACAGGAATGAGTTCTTTCTTGGGCATGAAAGGTTTTGAGCAGAAAAACAAAAATTTGATAAAAATTAACAAACCTGCAGAAAAATGCAGGTTTCTTCATTTTGATTATTTTGACGACAGCCTGTTTCCACCACGCTGATGACCTTAAATGGCTGAAAGTATTGTACGATGCGGCTGGCGCTATTTCCTTCGTACGTGAAGCAGGCTGCTTCGAGTCCACGGCCAGGGTCAACAGAGTGTGGGGTTAAATACAGCCCCCCAGCAGAAAGACGGAGATATTCAACAAAATGTCTTCCTCACGAGACACTCAAACTATGTTATGAGGGTGGAGACACTTCCATTGCAATGACGAGCATAGCAGATGTCTTTTAATTTAAAAAAGAGGGACCCATCAAAAGGGCAATAAGTCATTCATAGTTGTATCAATTTTAACAAAACTTCGAACAAAAAAGACGCAACCACGGGGACGTTCAGTTTGTCAATATTGTTTTGTTGTAGTTGGTGCAAAATCGACCTTTTTTCCCTTAAAAAAAGACACCTTATATGTTTCAACACAGCTTATGGGATGCCAAAATTCTTTACAGAAAACTTACCGGTGAATACGTTTGACAAAAATAAATCTGTCGTCCCAATGGAATAGCGGGATATTATGTACATTCATTTTAAGGGCGAAATGATGGTGTTATTATTTTCAATCGTTGAAAGGGGAGGGGTGTCTTTCTTATCTATTTGTTGTGGGTTGTTTGGTTTTTTTGCTAAATGCTATAAAAAAAACCCAACCTAATTGGGACGATAAGGGGTGCTTGATTGGAGCTTTACTTTTGCTTTTTTTAGGCATTAAAAAAATTATTTTGCTGTTGTTGTGTTGCTGTGTTGTAGTTGTTGTTGTTATTATTGTTTATTGTTTGTTTGTTTGTTTGTTCGTTGTTATTGCAGATTTTTTAAAAAAGAGAGCGGTATAGTTGGGTTGCTAAGTTTACAGTGAGAGAGGTGGTGGTGAAGAGGGTGCAAATCCCCCCCCCCTCTCTCTCTCTCTCTCTCTCTCTCTCTCTCTGTGTGTGTGTGTGTGTGTGTGTGTGTGTGTGTGTGTGTGTGTGTGTGTGTGTGTGAGTGTGTGTGTGTGTCTCTCTCTCCCCGCCCTCTCTCTCTCTCTCTCTCTCTCTCTCTCTCTCTCTTCCCCCCTCTCCTTCTCTGTCCCCCGCTCTCTATGTCTCCTTCCTTAAATTTCAAAGTTTACAAGCCTCATTAAAAAAAAAAACAACCCTAGCCTTCCTAGTGTATCATTACTGTCACATCGAAAGGAATTTTCAAACGACACGCTCGTGGAAAATCACGTCCTTTTCTTTTTTCCCTGTAAATTGCAATCAAATCGTCTGCCAGAATTTTAGACAATTCTCATTAGGCAAGCAGGCACAGAATAATATACAGAGTAAAATATTTAAGCTATACTGTTGTTGGAGATATTTTTGTATTAATTTACTGCTACTGTTGTTGTTATTATTTTTTTCGTTGTTTTTGTTGTTGTTTGTCTGCTTTCCATGAACACAGCACTAGCAAAATGACTTTGTGTTTAAGATACTTTATTTATATCCCAATTAAGTACAACAAAATGTGTGGTTTGCTCTCTTTGAGAAATTCTAGAGTGGTTTACAGATCTGTAGGGCCAGCTCTTGTGATCTCTGGTGCTTTCTTTTGATTTACAAAAAGTATTACTGAGCTAAATCAAGTGTCATCGCTTTACATCTGGGTATACCAAGAGATCGGGGAGATCTTATTCTAAGGTCTTGAAGTTCTTCACACACAAAACGAAATGGAGGTGAAGGATATAATCATTATATTTACTTCTGGTAAGAGATTAAGAATTAACGCGCATGGTAACATAAATTACATTGGGTCCCTTCTAAATGGCTTATTCTTTTACCAAGAGAAAGTTATGCTGACCGCTAACCTTTTATCTAAAAGTCTTCTTTTGTTGAAACGAGGTTAAGGCGGTGAAGGTCGATGAAACAATTCTCGTTGAAGAACTGTTTCCCCTTGGTTTCGTTTCATATTTAGTGTAGTTTCCGGTTTGCTGTTGTTTCTGATGTGGTGCTCTTCCTTGCTCTTGGATTTTCTTGCACGAGATCCAAACATGACGGGAAAAGGGCAGTTCAGTTCATAGGAATTTGGATCTCATATTAACTTGAATCTGATTCGAACCTGTAATGGACGACGACACATTGCCGAGGAGAAGACTGGTCATTTTTAACAGGTAACCCTCTATGACAGTGGCATTATAATATAAACGGAAAACCCAAGAGGAAAGTGGGAATTGGTTTTCTGTACAGGTGATTGTCTTAGGCAGATGGTCGCTGGAGCAGGGTTGACTGTACCTCCTATACCCTATGTATTCGGATGATTTTTATATGGCTTTGCTTTTTATATAATTAAATTTATCAAAACCATGTTATACTTCATTTGAAACCAGTGGGTTCCATTTAAAAGGTACCAATCACAATTCCATGCAAATGTGAGGACGTTCAATGTGAAAGCCTGAGTGTATAATATGTAATATGTGTGTAAATATGTGTGGTCTGGAGAGCGAGAGAGAGAGAGAGAGAGAGAGAGAGAGAGAGAGAGAGAGAGAGAGAGAAAGAGAGAGAGAGAGGGGGGGGGAGAAAGAGAGAGAGAGAGCGAGAGCGAGAGAGAGAGAAAATGAGTGTGTGTGTGTGTGTGTGTGTGTGTGTGTGTGTGTGTGTGTGTGTGTGTGTGTGTATCTGTGTGTGTGTGTGTGTGTGTGTGTGTGTGTGTGTGTGTGTGCGTGTGTGTGTGTGTTTGTGTACAGAATTTGACCTTCTATGCTGCCATGTGTAAATAAACTGTTCTTTTACGCGGAAAAAATGTTTTTGTTCTTGTTCTTGGTTTTTTTTTTCAATTTCCCGCCAATGTTGTATGCCAGATTTTTTCTTTTTTGTTTGTGTTTTCTTTTTCTCTCTACTTGTCTATAAGTGAGAAGTATTTTCATTATTGAATTGAAATACGTCAGATTTGAGCTTCATTTATTACAATTAGTGCTGTTGTCTTCTTAGACATTGAACGTGGTTTTTCTACCCTGACCCTTACAGCTATGGGTAAAAGCTTTCTAAAGTAATCTGGAATGAGAAAAATGTACTGGTTGTTCAAACACCTCAGATTACAACTACACAAGGTTAAAATCTTATATCTACAAGATGCTTGTAGAATGAATTAATTACTAATCTAGTTTTCATTAATAAAGGATGTGTCAGTCGTTAAATTAAATATACATGTAAAATAAATGGGTTATACCTAACACTGAAAGTCGAACTACAAACAGAACAACTTACTAAAGTAATTTGGATGATAAGTTTTTCGAACACCTCAAATCACAACTATACTTGCTTAGAATCTAACATTTACTGTTATTTGTAAAATTGAAGGCTGGATTTTAAACATAGATAAATCTATCGGTTGTTGATTTAGGTCGTTACAATTAGATATTCATATATGAAACAAATGGATTACATAAAACACTGAGAGTGTAAAACTCAACACAACAACTTTCTAAGTAATTTGGATGACAAAAATGGACAGGTTGTTCGAACATCTCAGATCACAACTACATTTGGTTAGAGTTAAATATGTATAAGTTGCTGTTACTAGTGTCGCCTAGATTTTTTTTTAAAGTGACCAGTCGCTCGCTACAATTAGATATACATTTCAATTAAATAGATTAAATCCAACACTGAGAATGCAACAACCAGCATCACAAATTATTAAAGGAATTTAGATGACAAAATGGACAGATTGTTAGATCAACTCAGATAGCAACTACACTTTGACAGAGTCTATAATTAACATGTGCAAGTTGCTTGTAAAAGCGTAGACTAGATTTTATACATAAGTGACCTGGTGCTGGGTACAATTAGATATACATATAAAATAGATGTTATCCAACACTAAGAGTGTAACAACCAACATAACAACTGACTAAAGTATTTCGGACGACAAAAAAAGGAAAGCTGTATCAAACACCTCACATTACAACAAACATAGA